TGTGTGTGTGTGTGTGTGTTTGTGTGTGCGTGCGTGTGCGTGTTCACCCCTAAAGGACATCTATTTGCACAGCCCCAACGTGCGCTGGGAGGACATCATCGGCCTGGAAGATGCCAAGCGATTAGTCAAAGAGGCCGTCGTCTATCCCATTAAGGTGCGGCCGCTGCCCGAGCACGCTGGTATTTCAGCACCGGTCACCCGTCTTCGATTCTGAATACATCTCCTTTAAAGGGCTTAAAGAGAAGGAGGGCGGCGGGGTCAGGCCAGTTTGTTAGGCTGACATTAAATCCATATCTGGGATAATATGGCAGCGCACATACACAGATGGATAGATGGGCCGGGGGCCGGCGGACACACGTGGAATGCAGAGAAACATTCGTACACAGCAGCACATTAACACAGTTTTCACCTCCGTGTACATAAATTTCACATACAAATAAAAGCTGGCACATAAACACAATAGTGCACAGACCGAACACACACACACACACACACACACTTTTCTATCATCATCACCCAGACCGGTCTCATGGATATGATGACAACAAATCAGGTTGTCTGCATCCTCTTGACATTTACAGACGGAGATGAGGACTGATGTGTCTTATCTTCTATTCCGCTGCTCCGTCTTATTGAATAACACCGCCCCCGCCCTTTGCCGTCCCACAATCCCCAACTTCTGTCTCCATTATTATTCATTCTGTGGGATATAAGGTCAGTTTGGTGATTTGAGTCGGGTCCGTCTGTTCACCACCTAAAAATTCAGACTGATTTGTGGCGTGTGGTTTTTGCAGCACTGACTCAGCTCCACGTTAGATCCGCTCCCTTTGCACACAGCTCACTTTCTTCTTAGTTGGCAGGAAAATGGAAATACGTGTTACGTTGCTGAAGGGTGATAATAAGTTCACATCTATAAATTCTTTTCATGCTGAAACAAAGTGACTTTCAGAAAGGTTAGTTTTCATTTCATTTTTTTCACTCCTCCCTCTTTTTCTGTCTTATCTGCACTTTTTTTTTCTTTCCTTTACTAATTGTATTCTTCTCTTTGTCACCTTTTTTTTGTTCCACTTCTTTGTCTTTACAGTACCCCGAACTATTCACAGGCATCCTGTCTCCGTGGAAGGGCTTGCTGCTCTACGGCCCCCCAGGTATGACCTCCAGAGTTGTATACCATTATCAGGTTCCCAGATTTTCTCTTTTTTTATTTGTATCCTAGTCGTCCTTCAATCTGTGATTCTCCCTGACTTGTAGTCTTGTCTCAGGTACAGGTAAGACCCTGCTGGCCAAGGCCGTGGCCACAGAGTGCAAGACGACCTTCTTCAACATCTCTGCCTCCAGCATCGTCAGCAAGTGGAGGGGAGACTCTGAGAAACTGGTCAGGGTAGGTTCCCGCAAAACAGATGAAATGCAACAAATGTGAATCAAGTGCACTCGTGTTAAAGTGAGTCCAGATGTGTGTAAATATATTTATGCATATTCCTGCAGGTCCTGTTTCTGCTGGCCAGGTACCACGCCCCCTCCACCATCTTCCTGGATGAGCTCGATTCAGTGATGAGGCAGAGAGGAGGCAGCACGGGGTGAGCTGCATTTACCTCCACCAGTGAGGTCATGTTTTTAACATGGGCCAAGAAACAAACTATTACATTTCGGGGGAAGATTCAGGAATTTATTTTCCATTTTGTTTACAGTGCAAGTTGTTTGTTGTGTTTTTTTTTTTTACATTTGCAAGTTTTGCGCAGAATTATTCACAGATCTTGATGAAAATAATCTGTTATATTTAGAAGCATGTGCATTTTGAAGCACTGTTGGACTTTGGCGGATGTATGGACTCCACTGAATGATATTCTAGTTGTAGATGTAGGAGTTTAAGCTTTAAATGACTTATATAGATGCCGAGGTGAATAAAAAGCTGATCTGTGTTTTCAGAGGAGAGCATGAGAGCAGCAGCAGGATGAAGACGGAGCTGCTGGTGCAGATGGACGGACTCGTGAGATCAGAGGAGCTGGTGTTCGTTCTGGCTGCCTCCAACCTCCCTTGGTAAATCTCAGCATGAACACAAACCACTCACATTTCTTTTCTTATCATCATAATGACAACGAATTACTGTGTCACCATTACATTTATAAAGGAAGATGAAGACAGATATAAGTGACACACAAATACAACACAAGCCACTTTTTTGACTTTCTTCTGATTTATTTCCCTTTCTCACACATTTAGTAATTTCCTACAACAATAACAGATGCCATTATCATCTCAACAACTTCACTTTACTACGATTCAACACAAGTTTTCAATTTGGAGTCACTGAGAATCCATATTAGAAATAAAATGCATGAAGAATCAAGTTGATAATGACTATTTCACTTTCTGGAATCCAAGAACAGACACTTAAGTTTTACAGTGTAAGAAAAAAATCAAAAACAGCCGACTGCAGTCTGTAACGAGTCCTGCTGCTCGTCTCTCAGGGAACTGGACCATGCCGTGCTGAGGAGGTTAGAGAAGAGGATTCTCGTGGGTCTTCCCTCCTCAGCAGCTCGCCAGTCTATGACCTCTCATTGGCTGCCGCCTCTCACCTCCACAAGAGGGGTGGAGCTACGAACTGAGTTGGACTACGAAACTCTGGCAAAGGTGTGTTACAGAGAATTTTAGTTTCAAGATCAAAATACAGGTTCTCTTAGTTTGGCCTCATCTTTGTGTGTGTGTGTGTGTCAGGAGATGGAGGGCTACTCAGGCTCTGATATCAGATTGGTGTGTAAGGAGGCCGCCATGAGACCAGTTCGCAAGATCTTTGATGTTCTGGAGTCACATCAGAAAGGTACAACAACACAAATACACACTCAGACAGCACGGCTACGTCCTGTCATGTCTTCTGTTGGGCGTCTCTGAATAAAACGCTGTAACCTCACCGTCACTTTCCTCCACAGAAGACGCCCACGTGCCCGCCATCCAGCTGGAAACCGTGACGACGGCCGACTTCTTAGAAGTCATCACACACAGCAAACCGTCGGCCCGAAACTTGATGGACAGATACACAGCCTGGGAGAGAGAGTACGAGTCTGTGTGACTCTGCCACAGACGGTCAGTGCTTTTAAAATGCATGTTCTACTTTTACTCTTCAACACTGTGGAGCTGACGAGGAAATGTAGTCCCAACATTAAAATACACATTTGTGTTTAAAGTTACTTTAGAAGAAGTAAATGTTATCTATCACTTAATCATGGGGAGGAGGAGAATACTTTCAGTCGTTCAGGACGATGGCAGCTCCTTTGTCTCCAGTGTTAAAAACCAACAGCGTCCTAGAATCATCGCAGATAAAGTTCAGAGCAGGTTCTTCAGGATGTGTTCAACAGCGTCTGGGAAGCTGTCGCACGTCAGGTGGGGAGGAGGGTGGATTTTACTCTCATCCCCGTCTCTGTATTTACCTGAAGAATAAAATGAACTATATTGGTTTACATGATGACATCAGAGCCAAAGATTAACATATGTGGTGACAGCAAAGACATGAAGCTGGCCACAATTTCTGCTCACTGGTCAGTAATTGTCAGGTCTAGAGACACGATGATGAAATGAAATTGAGAATAAATTGAATGAAAAAGTAGATTTTTATTTTCTTACCAGTTCTGACTAGAATACCCAGCATGCCTGCGTTCTGAGCCCCGCCCACATCATCCCTTGCATCCTGTCGTAAAAACAGCAGAGATACAAACCACTGTAGACTAATACACAATAATACACAACATAATGTACAGTTGCTACCAAACTTGCAGTTAATGAATCACATGTGATGATATACTTACATCTCCTATCATGACAGCTTCACCGGGGCCACATCCCAAATCAAGCAGAGCCTATTGGAACAAACCAACCAGAGAAAAGAGGCTTCATTCATTTTTAGTTAATCAAAAATCAAATGTGGATCCACATCAGAAAATACCTGACAGAACAAAACGCTGCACACTTTACTACCTGTGTGAAAAAAGTTTTTTCTGGCTTTCCCACCACAGTAGCCTTGCAGTCTGTGGCGTACTCCAGTCCCGTCACAAAGGGCCCGGGGCCGAGGGACAAACCATCCTTCTGTTTGTAGTACCGAGCCTTGTGGATGGCGATGAGAGGAGCTCCATCCAGAATCATTCTGCAGGAAGAAGTGTAGATGCTTAACAGACGGAGATGATGAATCAGTGAAAAACTAAAAAATAGTAAAAAAAAAGCAGTTTTAGTTTCATGTATCTCATCCATCAGTTATCACCTGAAAGCCTCGTTGAGTGTTTGGTAGTTGAAGTGATCAGGAGCGAGGCCAATGACAACAGCATTTGGTTCTGACGTGTCAATGCCTGTGAATAAAAACAGCTTCACCAACACAAAGAGCTGCTTCTGCATTTCATTTCAAACTGTGAATACTTCAACTGAAGCACAGACTCTCTCTCTCTCTCTCTCTCTCTCACACACTCCAGTACCTGTGAAGTCCTCCAGTGCGCTGTCCTCCACCAGCAGCAGCGGTCGGTGCTGTTCCCGCTCCAGCAGACTCCTCGCTGCACTCAGAGACGTGAAGATTTCCTTTTCCTGCAATGTAAAGTTCATTTTCCAACGTTTTGGGGGGAAAAAAAGTCTAATTTCTTGATCATTACAGTAAAATCATCTAGATGGAATGACTCTGGTGTTTCACCTGAAGGTTGAATTTGAGGCGTTGCAATCGTTCCAGTAAGTTCCTCTTACTCTCCTTAGTGGTGTTGGTCACAAACTTCACAGCGACAGACGCCTGCCGCAACCTGACCCCACAAACAAATGATTCATCTAATATAAGAAAACAATATCAAAAGAGACGGTGACTGGTTTTCGTCCCTGATCTCAAGGACTCAGGTTTAGTTTTCATTCATGCAGTAACATTCGGAGGTTTGGAGGCAGTTTCTTGCCTGGTCAGTGCTTCCTGTGCCCCAGGTACCGCTGTGTCCTCGATGTGCAGAGTTCCACTCAGGTCAATGAGCACGGCTTTCAGAGCTCGTCTGCCCGACATGTTGGAGACCTGCAGGAAAACGTTGTGCGTCATGATTTTCACCTGTATTATCTCTGGTTCTGGACTTTAGTTCTTCAACCAACCATACAACAGGTTTCTGCAGCTTCACCTGCTCGGCGCTGTTCAGTGAGAGCTGCTTGTGCTGCAGTCTCTGACTATGATTTCATAAACCGCTCAATATGTCCAAGATCCGCTGTAAATGGAGCTTTACTCCGTTTAAAAAAAAAAAGCTTATTCTCTCAAAAATAATGTATAATTTTAGAGATTATGCGTTCGTAATCATAATTTTACATCGGTAGTGGCAGAACTGATCAGATTACTGCGTTATTCAAACCTGCATCAGGGCGAACTGAGAGGATTATTGACCGGTTTGTCTCAAGTATTTATGGTTTCCTGCCTAGAATACAGATTTTGGGATTGTGTTTTATTGGAATGTGATTTCAGACTGTGATCTCCTTTTATTTAGACATGCTTGGATTTCTGTCATGTAGTTATCAATGTGAGGGTACAATTAATGCTCTTACTGCCCCCCCATTACAGCTTGAACACACACACACACACACACACGTTTCTATTACTTGTATTTAGCTCAACTAATAACAGGAAACTGTGAGAAGGGCCAAGCTGAGTAAAAGCTTATTTCTGAGCGTGTGTGTGTGTGTGTGAGCAAAGCAGCAACGTTAAAGGAAACTGGGGCTGTAACAAGCGTCACAATTCTCTACATGAAACCGTTAAAAACTCTGTTGCACTTGATGCTGATGCTATTTCTACTTTTATTAATTCAGGTTGAAAACTGTTGGAAAACCTGCAAAGACAACAGATTTGTGAAATAGATTTTCTTTTTCAGTTAGAAAGAAAAATTCCTGTCACGTCGTAATAATATCCAATACTTTACTGTGACCAAAGGTTGTGTGAACAAGNAGGTTTAACTTTAACCACTTAATCACTCATTAGAATAAAAAACATATGTATCCCAGCAACAAACTAACAACCAACAGATGTAGCACATTAGTGCGTCTTTCAGATTTAATATGTTGGGAGGAATTATCAAACATTTAAAACCTCCTCTCTGCGTGATGCCAGACAGCTCGGATCAAATCCTCTTTTCCTGTTTCCTCCACATCGTGAACAACACTGCTGTTGTTTTAACTTGTCAGTTTTTCGGCATAAATATTTTGTAGCTCGGTTTTGAAAAACATTTTGTTTGTGAATTAGTTTCTGGACATAACATCCCAAACCAGAACCATCTTGGACTTAAAAAAAAGTGTTTTGCGGTTTCGGATTAATCAAATCTATTTATTTTTCCACTGACCTTTTTTATGATTTTATTTGTTTTCATGCTTTCATTGCCCCTCGTTATTGTTGGAAACAAAAAAAGTGTTTTGCGTTCATTCACAGTATTTTTGCACATTATATTCTATAATAAATCCCAAATATTTTAAATTTACTACATTTATTTGAAAGATTTTGTAGGAAATCTTTCTGTGAAAGAACTAAAGGCCTTTTATTTTCCTACTTCACAAGTCTGCTGTAAAACTTAAGGCACAATAATCATGGTGTTAATATTAATGTTCCTCCTTCACTGGATCTAGTCTCAGTTGTCCTGATGTTTTCTTCTTTATCCTCTTCGACAGTTTAATTAACTTTAATGAATTAACCTTTAATTAAAACCTCGCCGCAGTTTCATGACACTGAAATCAGGTCATTTCTGTGAACGTGTGTTTGTGTCACTGAAACAAACCGAAGAATAACTAAGTTTAACATCTTTCTTTAATTCGAACACGTTCAATAAAACCACATTTTAAAAACCGAAGATTTCAAACAAACAGCGAAGCAGAGTTTCTGCTTTTATTCCACAAACAAAGTCACGAGACAGTGAATGAAGTTAAACACGTTCAGACCTTCAGCTGCGTCCCTGAGCGACTTCCTGGTTCAGGTTCTTCTTCGTCGGTTAGAGTCTGGACGTGGAGCTCACTGCTGCCCCCTGCAGCTCAAACATTGTAACGTCTACTCTCACACTTTTTGAAATGTGTCATATATNTTATGATTTTATTTGTTTTCATGCTTTCATTGCCCCTCGTTATTGTTGGAAACAAAAAAAGTGTTTTGCGTTCATTCACAGTATTTTTGCACATTTAAAATTACTTGATTATTATTTTAATTATATCTATATGCACATTTATCACGATCAATGTAATGTAAATGTGAAAACAGTTTGTAGTTGTGTAGTTTTTAAGTGAATCTACAAGTTGCTTAAAAACAAAACACATTCTCATGTGTTTTTTTATGACAAAGAACACACGTCCTGACCTGTGAAGAGCAGAAACATATCCACGTCCGCTCGCCTGTGATCGCTTACAGATTTCACCGTGAACTCGCAGCTAAATTCTGACTAATCACAGATCAAAGTGGCTTTACTGTGCAAATCTCCCTGATAAACATATGCTTCTAATTCCAGCTGATCCCTGTTTTCCCCTCTCACCCCCCTCCCGTGCTTTCAGGATCAAATCTAATGTTAATAAAAATATTTGTGCAGCTTACAGCCGGGGACGGACCGGTGATAATTCACAACATATGTGGATTATTAATGAAGTGGAGCAGGGAGGCGCAGACAAACATGGTGTATATTTATACTCAAAAGTGGTGGAGATAATTCTGCATTTCATTTTTTCCGATTCATATAAGGTCAAAAACATGAACACAGTTGAAATGGTCTGAAGATATTTTGATGTTTTCAACTCCAGAAAGTCTTTTTCACATGTTCTATTATTCCCCCGCTGCCACACTCACACAGAAAAAAACTGAGGCAGTACAAAATCATTAATTGCACTAAATAATACATTTAATATTTCAAGATACCATCTCAGGGTACTTGTGTGTAAACAGTACAAAGGTAAAAACATTTCAGTCGTGTTTGGTCGTATTGCTTAAAGTTTACATGACACATATTCAATCAAAACAGAAGAAATAAAAACACTGAACATTTGTTTTCACACTTTAGTAAAAATGAAGGAGCTTTAAAGAGAATTTCCTGTCAGCTGTGGGATTGTGCACCTCTACCTCGACTGTGAGTTTCCCTCCTAAACACAAATGAGTAAACAAGTTCTGTAGGACGACGAGAAGTTAAAACTTTACAGTCGCAATCTTTTTGACAAATGTTGAATATCTCCTGTCACTGACGTCTCTGGTTTACAAAAACTGGTAAAGAGACACAGATCACAGGTAGAAAGTTTGGCAGCAGCATAATTGAATCTCCAAACGTGATCTTTAAGCCCCTTAAACTGGTTGAAGCAGATCTGAACACTGATGTGTGTTTTTCTATTTCATCGACACAGTGTGTGTGAAGTGAAACAGGAAATACTGCTGCGGACATTTGTGGTATCCATAAAAAGTAACAAGCTCCTCCTCTGTAACTCTCAAATAAAACATGACTCATTATCATGAAATCACTAAAACAGATTCACTCGAATGAGTCTGTGATGAAACATGTGATGATGAAAGCAAAAACACATGTTGTTGTATTTGTGACTTTGAATCCTCGAATGTTTCAGTTCTGAACGTGTTCGTCTCGGCTTCTTCTTTTCCTCTGTTCCGCTGACAACCATTATGGAAAACATTGTCCTCGCTGCTGAAGACCAGCGAAGACAGACGTCTCTGGATTACACACATTTTCCTGTGCGTCTGTGTGGGAGTGTGTAGTGGTTCCTTGGCACGTGTCCGGTCCGTAGATTGTGTGCTGGTGTTAACCAAACAGCAACAACAGGACGATGCAGCCAGTATTCACAATTATTAAAGGCACTGTAAAAAAAGAAACGGTTATCTATTCAACAGGATACAAGATCTACTAACTTCACAAACTGTGATCTTAGACTAAATAGTATATTATTACTTCAGACAGATATTTCTGGAGTTATTAGAAAGTTGAAATACTCTATAATCAGTTTTTTCTCCTGTTTCAATACTGTGAATAATAGAAGTGTGTTATTATTTCAGGAATGATTCTTTCTTACGCTCTGGAGCGACTTCAGATTTCTTCCTTGTCGTCAGTGAGTCCTCCTCAAACAGTTCTATGATATATACTGTCACTCTTATGTTTGCGTGCTGGACGTTGTGTGTAAATCTTTTACAGTCTACGCTGCAGAGAGACGTTTAACAACCTTTGTGTTCATCCTACCTGGTTCATCTGCAGTTAACAATTCATGTTCATCAGAAATTGAAACAGAATTTGCTTGATTACTTTTCATGTGTGAGGCTCATACATAAATATAAATATATATCCTCTTACCTCTCATGACCGTCCGGACCGAGCGGATGAGGTTGAGGATCTGGGCTTTGACTCCTGGATCGTCCCCAAAACCTCCGACTCCCTGGTCCACACCCCAGCCGACTGAAGGAGGGAGAACAGAGAGGGAGCTTCAGTTCAAATACACGACATGCACTTTTTATATACACGTGGATGGGAGGGGGCAGAGCATCAACACATGGAAGTATTATTATGTTAATAGGTGTAATTGTACACATCAAGTATCCCCACCCCAGACAACTAGAAGAGACAGAAGCAGGCAGGAGGTTTTAAATTTCACTTAATCACTTTAAGGTTAAAGAAATAATCTTATTCCACTACTTGTTGTTCTCTGATGATTGTTCTTCCTTTAATCTGAGCTAGCTAACACAGCACAGTGAGCTAACACAGCACAGTGAGCTACCGGTGCAGAGTTAGCTAACGGTGCAGAGTTAGCTAGCTGCATTTATCGCGACGACAACGAGTGAATCTTGTTAAAAACAAACAATGTTCGTCTTTTCCAACATGTCTGGACTTACTCCTGCTGAGGAACCTCTCTTCATGCAGCACAGCGATGGCGTTAACGCAGAGAATCGCGGTCTGGAGGAGAGAGTACAGGGTGAACGCCATGTTGGCACTTTCTTCTTCTTCTTCTTCTGCTCCCTGCACGCCCAGGGGCAGCCGCCGTAAACCAGCAGCAGATGTCGTGAAACCTGAGAATAAGCGTGCACTTCGAAGTGTTCTTCTGTCCTCAGAGACCTCTAGTTCCCAACAGAAGAGGGAAGTTCACTTTAAAACGATCGATGAGATTCATCATTGATTCTTTTAACGATCTTCTCGTGTCAGAAAGTTTACGTCCATGTTATTATTTGTACTTTCTGGAATTCTCATCTTGTGCGTTCATGAAACTACTTCTGGTTTTCAAGTGCATTGAATCTTCGACACGTTTCTACTATTATCAACATTAAAATGGAGAAATATTAGGATCATGAAACCACTTTCTTGTTATTGTATAGACTTTTAATTTACACATAAATAGTAGAGAAACTACAGGAACATGTTTAAATACATCTGCATTAACAGTTTATTATAACATTTTTTTTCTCGCAGTAAATGACAACTTTATCCATTCAGTCATTTCGTTCTGTAAAGAAGACGAGGGCGAGTTCTCCTTTTTATTCACATCATCATCATCATCATCATCATCATCGTCGTGTCTCTTTCTTTTAACACTGTAATAAATAATATTTTCAAGGTCTGATACTGAAATAAATAAACAAACACGTAGACAGACATGACTGGTGACGGTTTAAACATGAAATCATTTACAGGCAGATCTACAACACTGAGAGACTTCGCTCCTTGTGGCCCAGACGTTCCTTTGGAGAGCAAATAAATACACAGAATGGGCCTTTAATCATCTGTTCAACGCCCCAAACACATTTTAAAAGCCAGTTTAGCAGCTGATGGTGGCGATTTAAAGCTCGACTCTGGGTGGAGATGACGTTTACGGTCAGAAAATTTGGGCGGAGGTTCAAAAGTACCTTCAGGATGCCTTTGAGCAAAGGATGTTGTTTTAAAGTAAATTAAAAAAGTGAATAATACTGTAGTTTTTTTTTATACATTCAGAAATCACTCCCAAATACAAAAACTGTTTAAATATGCAAACCAGCCTGTATTAATACTGGTGGAGCAGCCCCGTTACTCCCTGTGCTCTCATCCCTTTATTTTGTTCTTCTTCTGGCATCGTAAAGTTACGAACTCAAAGAACGAGCTTATTTAAATTAAATCTCCTTCGGTGATTATCGACCGTGTTGATAATCGCTTGTTTGTTTTCGATCAATAAACACAACGGGACGTGATGAGGAGAAAACCCCTTTGGGATCTAATGTTGACAATAAATAAGTGTTGCTGTCTCTCTTTAGAGTCCACATTTCAACAACGACAATGACAACAGCAAAATAAAAACCTTGTGAAGTCCGTCCTCATCCACAGTCCGATGTGTGCACTGTACAACTGGGCCGGCAGCGGACAAAGTCACAGACGTAACACCCAGTCTTTAAAGTCTCATTTTTTAAGAACTTGGAAAAGTTCAGCGGTTCTTTTTTTTGAAGAAGAAGTAAAAGTTTATAACTGCCTTCCTGGTCGTCTTCAAAAGCCCTCAAAAAGTTCAAGGGGCAAAGAAAGGCCGTGGTTGCTTTGGTCCTGTTTGGGTAAAGCTTCGAGTTTGACTGCCGGAGCAGCGATGAGGAAAAATCGCGTCTCTCTCTTTCAGTTCAGTCAGTCCGGGGGAAATAAACTCGACGGAGTTTGCACACAGCAGCAAGAACTGGTCCATGTGAGCTCACAGAGTTTTTAAGTGCTGGGCTATTAACAGAGATGGGGCTGAAGAAGAAGACAAGTAATTCTTCTCCAAGATTAAGAAATGTACAAAGTCTGAGACCAGTTCCCCACGGAGGGGGATGGAAAATGGTGAATGGTCCCCGCTGTATTCTATATTTATATATTTACTTTGAGTCTTTTTACTTTTGGAACATTCCCAGAAATCCAAGCAGCTTCTTCGTCCTAGAAGAGTTTCTGTAAAGACAATAAAGGAAATTAAAATCGAACATTAGTGTCATGCATTGCATTTTTCAGAGGTCTAGTTTTTTAAAATCTAGGCTTAATGTGGTTTAATTAAAATAAGTAAATACTGATGAATAAAAATCTTACCTTTGTTTTAGCTACTTGTTGAGATGTGAGCTGATCTTTTCTTTTCTGATGATGTTTGCGTACGGAATCTGAAAGACAGAGAAAGAGGGAAAAGTTAGATGCATTCACATCCTGCAGATTTATTGATGGATCAACCTTGACACTTATCTGCACTCAGCCTTAAAATAATTTTGATTTATTACAATTACATAAATTGATTTATCTCAAAATGAAAATCTCAAAACCACAATTTTAAGACACAAGTGAAACAGGAACAGGATAAAGATTTGAATGAAAATATAGGTAATATTGGTAAAATTCCAAAATATGCTGCAGAACCATTAATGTTGCATTAACTTGAATGTCAGAGTGAAACGTGTCTTTACTCTCAGACAGTTCCATCTGCTTTGTCTAGACCCATTTGTCAATTTTAGCGTGTGCACGTTTACAAACGAGTTAAATTGCACGTTCACTCCTGTGACTTTGTGGTTAAAAGAATGCAGCTCCCTCTTTTCTGTGTGTGCGTTTCGGTGTACGTTACTCGCAGGTTGTTTTGTTTTTTTTCAGCGATCGTGTGCACACAAGCGTGTACAGTTGTTGCATGTGTCAGAAAACAAAGACAAACACCGTCTGTCAGCTTGTCTGCCAGCTGCTCGGGTGATTGATGTGGACGGAAACAATCAGACGGCCGCAGAGGAACTTCTCACCCATGAAAGACAAACTAGATGATTGCCTCTGTCTTTTGAACAAATAAGCAACAGCACGAGTTGAGTCCTGCTGATGTCCTTGTTTCGTCTTCATTTAATCTCTCTATTAGAAGACATAGCTTCGGATTTCTTATTTAATGTATGCGTACAATCTACTTCCTCTATTGCCTGATTCATTTTTAATTTCTTCTTGTATTGTTTGCACTTGAAAACTGTATTTTATTCAGACAAGATTTATATTTCTTTTCAAAATCAGTTTTTAAATTATTTGTCATGTAAGTGCAGAGCATTGACGTTTATTTCCTGTCAGGGTTGAGCACTGATCGCGTCATTAGTCGTCGTACCATCTGTAACTGTTGGACCATCTCCTCTCTGTAGGCGAGCTCTCGTTTCATCTGGTCTTGAAAATTATCTGAAATTGGTGTAAAGCAAAATTATGATCAGCCGATAGAGTCATCATTTAAATAAGTGATCCAGTTAAAAGATGGACTGATATGTAAAAAAAAAAAAAAACAGACATATACTGAGGAGAAATGATGAAGGTAGGAAGTTGTGAAAATGTGAAAATGAAAAAGAAGTGACTTACGGAAGACAGGAAACGGCGTGGTGCCCTTCAGAGCGTGAAACTCCTGCTCCAGTCTCCTCCTGAAGTCGATCTGCTCCAGCAAAACCTTCTGAAGCTCTTCTGAACGAGAGAAGATCAAAGAGATGAAAATACTGAAATACATGCAGTCGTCACAGCTTAGTCCTGGGTGGTGTGTGTGTGGGTGTGTGTGTGTGTGTCCAGCAATGGAGAGGGAAGGTTTAAGAACCTGCGATTTTCAAATGAAAGAAATTTACCTTTCTCCATGTTCTCAACATCCTTCTTCAGTGGAACAGGAGAAGAAGCACCTTGGCTTTGATCACCTGAAAACACGAGGAGATTTAAACTGTGAGTTTTATTACACATTAAAGTCAGATGTAGTTACAGGATATTGCAGCTTCGGAGTAAGATCCTCAGTGTATTTCATTTTTAGATCCTTTACAAGGCCATGAATATATTCTCGTTCTTTTTAATTCCATTTCTGCATAAACGCTCTTTGTGCTTCTAGTGAGAATGCTGTAATCCCTGCCCTGTCCTCTAGGTGTCAGTATAAGCTTGTGCTAATGGAGACATTCGCTGCGTCTCTTGTTATCAGATAAACAAAAAAGCTTTTTATTTAAAAAAAAAAAAAGGAGGAAAACAATAAAAGAATTCAGCGAATGAAATAAACACAAATGAATTTTAAAGCTCTGAAAGATGAAAGTCTGTGACAATGAGCAAAAGTTTAACTGGACGTTCCAACAATTTTTTTTTTTTCGTGGGTTATTATTGTTATAATGTGGACAAATGTATTTGTTCTCTGCATTAGCAACAACAACTGCATTATTACAGTTATACAGTATTTTGTATTGTATGTTCTGTGTTCACTGACTGAGGTGATATCACTTGTTGCTTGAAAACTTCAACATCTTCATCACATAGTTTTCAAATTGAAAAGTGTGTGTGTTGTTTTCTGTGTGTGTGTGTTTGTGCGGACGTCTGAATTGATATTGAACGTCTTAAATGAAGCAATCCAGTGCCCTCGATGTGTTTATCCTCCTCCAGTCATTTCACATCTTCGCTCGCTCCTTAAGCCTCCCTGTGCTTCTCTGTCTCTCTCTCATTTAGCGCAGAGAGAGAGAGAGAGCTCTCCTCGCCTCTCTCTCCTCCTCTCCTCTCTCCTTTCCTCCCCTCTCCTCTCTCTGTCTCATTTGACAAGCAAATTTGCAGACAGTGCCCGAGGATAACAACCTCGTTTGACAGTCAATTAACCGTGAATAGTCAAAGCCAAGGCGGTTTGCATTACATAAATGGAAAATTAGATTATTTTTTCTCCCTAGAAACAGAGGGAGAGTTTAAAGACAGTGGAGGGGGGGTGACGGCGGTGGTGGGACTCGGAGGAATCAGGCCTTCTAATCACGTAGAGCTTCCCACCGCCCAGGGAGACGTTTGGCAATCAGGGGAAAGGTGGTCTCATTTAATTTGTTTCGTGTAATTTTTCGAAATACATTATACATTATGCGCGGGGATCATTATGGTGTGTGTGTGTGTGTGTGTGTGTGTGTGTGTGTGTGTGTGTGCAGGGGTTGAGGGAGTGGGGGGTAGATATAAATGTTGGCACAGATGTCATAAAGCACTTTTAATGTCTTCCTGACAGATATAAAAAGGCAATAAGCTGTGATCTTTTTCCAACAGGAAAGGGGTTTTTTTGCGCTGAGGAAGGGGAAAAAAAGACAATTATGTCGGCAGCAATATGGGTCTAGAATGAAGATTGCCAGCACGGCTGCTTATCTCTGAGCTGATGTTTTCTTGTTGAACTATAACGGCCCCCCTAAGAGTAACAGCCTCGGCGACAGCGCTGCTAAAGAGAGCAGCTGTGGTGGAGCGGCGGCTGCAGCTTTCTGCTTTCATCTGTGTGTGTGTGTGTGTGTGTGTTTATATTACGGATGCTTTCACTCACCGTCTGATACGAGGAGGAGACTGAGGTTTTATCTCACTGCTTTAAATACTGAGTCTCATTTGTCTAATGAGAGGAACGTCGCTGTTTTTTATTATATGAATTCATTTTATTCATCTGCATTGAAGGAAATGCTCAGTGTATCTTTTGATGTCTCTATGTAACACACATTTTATTCATTTGTTTGAATTTGTTGTTGATATTATTTCACGACAATAAGTTATGAAAGATTTTAGCTCTGATTTGCAAACTTCCATTTGCAGTCACTTCTTCTGTTTTGATATGTTTTCATTTAATTTCACTGAACTCAGATTTAAATTACTTAAATCAACCTATAAATCCTAATAATTCTCCTTTGTTTATTTTAAATTTTGCTGTTGATTCTTTTGTTGTTTTTCCATCTATGTGCAGACACTTAAAAAAGAAATGAAATAATACCTGAGCTCTCCCTCCAGTAGTCCGGCGCTGACGTCTCGCTCTCTGGTGCAAAGAAACTATTCTGCTCTTTGTTTTCGTCTGAGAGAAAATGAGATAGAAAAGACAGGAGGAGAAATTCACTAAGGCCCATTGGCTGAGCTGGTTATCCGGACACATGGAGATAACCAAGAGTGGGCACGGTGTGTGTCGCCTTTGTGTGTACGCGTATATAGACCGCGTGTGTGTGTGTGTTTTGCGACGCCACAAAAACATACACAAAAGACATTTTCTTTACCAAAAGGGTCAGAGTGGGAGATGAGAGGAGCAAATGAAACGTCACAATGATATGAGCCTCACAGGGACAGAGAAACCCTGTTTAACCACTCACTCAGACAATAAATGAAACAAAGATGCTATAATGCAACTGACTCTGACGTCCGATGAAACAGATAGTGTGTACGAAAGAAATTGCGTGATGCTATTTGATGAAACGGCGTAAAAACCCGTTCGAGCGTTTGGTAAAACTAAGACGTTGTGAAAACGACTGCAGGGTGAAAGAAGTCGTTTTTTTTGTAGTTTATATATAAAGTTTATTTTTACAAATGCTAAATGAAACAAATATGGTTTGTAAAAGATTTAAACTTTTAAACACTGAATTGCACAAATTAATTTTAATACATTTCAATCATGTTTTTCTCTTACATCTGGTGTATATAACTGTTCTTTAGACTTTTAAATCTTAACGTGAGAGACGTCAAAACATTTGAAAGCAACAGATTAAAATGTTCATGCTCACCAGAAATGCTGGAGTTGTCTTTGGTTGCATACGCAGGAAGTCCTTCGTCTCTGTTTTTGTGGATCTGGAAATCACAGAGAGTCCGTCAGCATTTCCTACTTTTCATTTTATTGTACAATTACAACACAGACCATTTAAAATTTTTATTCATCACATGATGAACGTAATCTAAAAGACGTTTGATCAGCAAATGATAGAATTCAGTTGTAATGATCTAAACTGCAGTGTCTGGTTTAAACCCTTTATTTCTCCCTCTGCACCTACGATCACTCAGATGTATTTGCAGTATGTTCCTCAGTGAACGATTTAACTTGCACCAGTTAAAAATGCTCATAACTCAGTGTGTCTGTCGCTCCCTCCTCCTCCTCCTCCTCCTCCTCCTCCTCCTCCTCCTCCTCCTCTACCTCAAAGGCCTGGTTAATGTGGGAGTCGACAGGTTAAAGATTAGAGTTGCCCTAACAGGCTGGGGTGACAGAGGGAGAACAAACACGCCATGGACATTAAACAAGCCACGCCTGGGCCTATTAGCCGGGATCAGAGTGGGGTGACTGTTTCAATTTCTACAGGGAGGAACCAGCCTATCAATCTGCTTATGCAGATCACATCACTGCCTGACTGCAGCACCATTTAAATAATAATTAGCTAAAGTGGCCTGGGGGGATATTTACGTTTTTGTAAGCGGGGTCCTCTCGGTGAGGTGGGTTGGAGCCGGAGAGTGGCAGGCTGGCTGGAGGGGACGCAGGCAGGCTGGGGGACTCCTGCTGGATGGGGTCCGAGGAGGAGGGAGGGGAGGCGCTGGGGTACACGACGCCACTCCCTCGCTCCTTCCCCCTCTCCTCTCCGGCAGTGTCGCTCAGCACGGGAAGATACAGGTTGGTTTGAGTCTGTGGTGGCTTTCTCGTGAAACTCCCTTCCTCCTCCTCCTCGTCCTGCTTCGACGACTCAACATCCACCTCCCCCTCCTCCTCACTGTCCCCTACATCTGCCTCGCCATCGCCCCCGCTTTCACTTCCGTAACTACAGCTGCTGGTGGGCGATAGCCGCTGGTGGCGCTCTGACCCGGCAACCACAGCCCCAAAGTCCTCATCCGTCGCCCCGGTGACTCCTCCTCCATTGCTGTGAAGTTTGGCAATGCTCTCTGCATCTTTGATGACAGGGCGGAAGGCAGAGCCGTAGCTCGGCTTCCTGCTTTGGAGGGTCGGGGTGTCGAGAAGTTTCAGCCAGCCCTCTGATGTCACAGGGCAAAGGTCAGAGGTTACCGTTGTGCAGTCTGGGTCAAACAGCCCCGTTCTTGTTGTGGTGGTCCCGCTGCCAGAGGCCATGGTTGCACCGATGCCATTTCCACTGCCAGCTACAGCTCCGGGCTCACTGGGATCTGAGAGATCCAGAAAGGCCTGTCTGAGAGAAGGGTTGTCTGCTAAGGAGGAGAGGGCACTGGGCTGAGGCTGGAGATAGGTGGGGACAGGGATTCCTCCGGCTGCTCTCGGAGGCCAGAACATGCAGAAAGGAGGATAAAAAGTGTCTTTGCGGCCAGGCCATAAAAGACCAGACAACCCTGCTGCTTTCTGCCCGGCTGAAACATCACTGTCCTCTTTTTTCTGCTGGCAGAGGCCAAATGCTGGGAAGGGGTAAGGTGAGGGGAAGAGTGACGTGGGAGGGAACTTCTGCAGCATGCCGAAGCTTTTGCTGGGGACGGGGATGACAGGGTAGCTACGCTGTGTCTTACGAGGAGACAGACTGTCTCCATCTAGATCATCCTCGTCTTCGAAGCGGCCTCTTTTCTGACCCAGGTCGGGTCCCATCATGTGAGGCCCCACCGAACCGGGGAGAGTCTTCATAGACCCCATGGAGGAACAATGGGCTGAGGAGGGAAGTGCTCTCTTCCGGCTGCCTCCATTGAACATGGCTTTAACGTCTTCCCACGCGTAGACTAACTCATCAAGTGGATGTTTGTCAGAGAGTTTAAGGTGTCGTCGCCAGGAGTTGAAGTTGGCAGCATCGGGTTGGGTGTACTTAGCCTCTGGTGTGCGGTGGGAATGGAAAATGAACTTATTTGGGGAGAAGTACATGTTGCAGAAGGAGCACTTGATGCATTTGGCCCTGGAGCTGTTGTAGCGTGCCGGGATGAAGTTGCCACGGCAACCCCAGGCGCATTCGTGTGACACGTCGAAGGCGAAGTTGTCAGGCAGTTTCGGCGGTGCGTTCTCTCCCAGGAAGGACTTGCACAGGCGCTCGGCTTCACGCTTGGTTATCATGCCACAGCGGCGTGACGAGATGGGCATGGCACCAGCCCGACGGAGGATCTCAAGCTGAACCGGCGTGCACTGGACGCAGGTGATGCCCAGCGCCACGCGACGATTATGAATCTCATTGTAGCTGTAGTTTTTGAGGAGCGTGTTGGAAATCTGCGCCAGGCAGAGTCTCTCGTTGTTATCGATGACCAGTGACACGATGGGAACGCCGTACAGGATGACCTGGCCGACCTGGTTGGGCTTGAGGGGCGACGAGGAAGAGGAGGGCGAGGACGAGGATGAGGAGTGATGGTGAGCAGGTCTGGGTGGAGTCAGGGGTTCCTGCTGGTAGGCGCCTGTTGAGCTTGTCATGATGATGTCATTAGAGCTCGAAAGATGCGCTTTGTCCATACTTGGAGAAAAACTGTGGGACGACCTGAGAAAGAAAGAGAATAAACAATTATTCATGCTGTTAAAATGCCACAAATAACATAGTTACACGTTTACACAAGGCTCTGTATTCAACATAAAGAGAAAAGCTGATAAATCTGTTTGTGCTTATTCCACCGAACACAATTACTCAGATATATGTTTCTCATTAGTTGAACAAATGTGTATATTAAAATATATTATTATTTTAAACTGCATGCATTTAAACTGAATCTATTGAATTCTCAATTAACAGCCAGGCACCACACCTTTTTCTATTTTCTAAATGTATCATTTGATTCAAGTGTGTCATCTGAACTACTCTTAAAAAATGTGTTAGTATTTTTTTTTAAATAGTTGTGACATTGTTTTTCAATATTAAATACCAGTTTAATTAAGGCTCTATTAAGGCTCTATTAACAGAAAATGCAAATGCTATTTTTTTTATGTCACGTTTCTGTATTTATTCTTGTGTGCATTTTCAAAATGTCACATCTTGCAGTACAGTTTCTGTAGGATTTTATACTAATAGAAATATTACTGATGGTGTTTGCCTGCCTTCAAAAATAAAAAAGAGAAGACAACACACAGAAGCAGATTAAATAGAAGGTAGAATATATTGTGAAAAGATGTGTTTTTAATTGTAGCCTAATTTGTTATTTCAACAAATTCCCCTGTAATTTTTTTTGTGCAATACAAAACATAATTCTTTTAATTGTATTGTTTACATCTGCTCAGTGAATAAAGATTTAAAATTCTATTTATGTAGACTAAATTTCAGAAAGTCAGATTTTACCACTAACACAGCTAAACTCTGTTTGTTCCTCACATCTGTGTTATATTTATGATAGAGTTAAAAGAGGGAAATTACTGTCGGGTTTTCCCCCAAGGAAATGTTTGTTTCAACAAATAAACTAAATTTACTATCAATTATTCACCCATTATATTCAACGAAGCAGTTCTGTAATAATACGGAATAACAAGGCGTTGATTTGAAACGGCCCACAAAATGAAACCGATCGAAAAAAAGGGATTTTTAAATTAACTTGGAACAATTCATTCCAGTGGACTCATCTGGTTTAATTGTGTGAGCTGAACAACGTCAATAACGCATTTAGACAAATCAAGAGCTTATAGAGAAACAACAGATCTGAGTAAACTGTGGAGACGAAGTGTTGAAAGAGGCTGTTTGATATTTTAGAAATGTTCTTTAGAGCGAGTTCAAGTCAACCAGAGGAACTACAGGCCTGCGTCCATCAGGCATCATGAATACCTCCACATTAATAAACGCTCTGTGCGGCTAGAGACTGAAACGAACCAATAATAATATTAATAATAATATTCATATTAATGATAACACCACATTAGAACAGCAGCAGCCTCATTTTAAGGTAGGGTTAGAAATGTGATAAAACGCTATTCACCAACATCTTTACGTTGACACGCGCTCATTTAAAAACATTTTCTTCAACTTGAGCTGAAACACTTCTTACCTGTGAATCCGGGGAATAATCCCAAACACGTCGAAACGTTGGAAAACACACACAGAACGCAAAGTGAAGCCCGTCACGAGAGGAGTCCACTGATCCTGCACACTTTTAACAAACTCATGTTTATGACGTGAACGAGCCGGTTTTCTCTCGGTTATATCCGGTAAAACGTGGAGTCGGAACCGATCGAGCAGCGCGTGAGGTGTGAGTAAACTGCGACCGCTCGAGCCGGCTTTATTCTCTTTTCAGAGGCAGCACGCGCAGTCCTAATCTCTCTCTCTCTCCCTGTGTGTGTCTCTCCCTCTCTCTCTCTCTCTCTCTCTCATTTGATTGGCGTGTGGCGCGAGCTCAGCCCACCATTCACGGAACACACACACACGAACACACACACACTTTATTTGTCGTCTCGCTGGAGCTGCCACTCAAACGCTGCAAAAGTCAAAGTGACGGGCACGAGCCTGGACTTCTGCACCCCCACCCCCCCAAAAAAACGTTTACATTGACTAAAATATTTTTTTACGTGACTTAATTAATTATTTGTTTGAATGAATTAGACAGTGAACATGCACCAACCACCAGCCAGTCGCCTGCACCCCCACCTCACCCTGAAACAGCCTCTGTGTCCACACACAGAGTGTCTGTAGTGTCTGTAGTTCCACTGCACTGACACCACACATGACCGTGCAGCTGAGGAAAATGTGCCTTTTAAACACAGACAGCGTGGAGTGGAACGCCAGCTCCGACCATAGGGGCCTGCAGGAGGAAGAGGAAATAAAAGGCTGAGGCAGCAGTCAGACAGACAGTCTGGGGATCAGAGTAATGTCTGTCAGTACAGCTGATCCACACATTCAACGTCTGAGGAGGCTTGTTTGAAACACGACTCTGGATACACCTGCAGGTTGCTCCCAGGAGATGAGAGGTAAAGCAGGAAGCCTACACATCCTCTGGTGTAAATGAGGGTCAGAGGAGCTGCCAGCTAACAACACATGCCATAAATGCCAGTGACATTCACCTGGAGAGGGCCCTACAAAAGTTGCAGGGTAGGATTATTTAATACATCAGAATGGAGGAGGGGGGGGATTTCTCTGGTGGTGCAGGTATTCCTGTCCGTGCTAAATTAAGCTCTTAAACCAGGTGTGTTGCACGTGATGCTCCATCACTTTTTCAACAGACCGAACATGAAATCTAGATATTAGCTGCCTCACAGGAAGTATTTAAAGGAAGCGAGTAGAGATGTTGTTTAGCTCTGAGTGGGAATAGAGTGAAGTGTCCCAGATCCTGACTGTCCATGGTAATTAAATCAACTTAATGAAGTTTATTTTTAACAGGACGAATGATTTCACAGAGGAAAACTTAATGCCACAGGTAACAGACAGTGGCTGTTCATAAACATCATGGACATGTACAATAAAATGAGTAAAGCAGTTGGTATGACTCTATAGCTTCAGACTGGAAAACCTATTTAAGTTGTAGTCTATATTGTTACCTTAACTTGTCTAAAATATTTGTACACTTTAATTTGAAGCTCATCAGTGTTAGTTATAGACTTTTATACTCACATGTCAGCGTTTACATTACTGACAGTGAGAGAATAAAGACACTCTGTTGTATATTGATTAAAAAAAAAAGTGAATCAAAACCAATAAAACACTGAATTTTGAGAGAATTTGTGCCACTCGATCAATTCTGTTGTATTTTGTCCACATCAGTCACTGTGGTTAACGTGGATGTGAGACACTGACACTGTCTGTAATTTATTCTGAACCAATCTTCTGTCATAGTCTCAATAAAGGCTTAGTCCTTCAGATCTGTGCACGTGTGCGCGAGCGGGACGGAGGAGAGCGCGAGCCCCATCTGCTCCTTCTCGAGCCAATTTAAGGCTGGTGTCACACGCACGCGCCTTTTTT